ATTATAATATAAATTATATCAAGATAATGCATATATAATTTTATTTAGCCCAAGACCTGCAGGCAAAGGTGTAGAAGGACTTGCAAGAGTTGGATCCCGAGCAGCACTTTCATTTGCATTTGCATTCCTTCGTAGAGCCTGGAGGTCAGGTAGGTCTACTCTGTAGCATATTGCATATATTTTTCGTTGGAAGGCAGATGATGCATTAAAGCATTTGTGTGTATTGAATATTTGCATAGAACTGTACATTTATAAATGTTAGATTTGCATAATTGTGTTTTATGTTTGTGCAGTATTGTGCCCATCAGTACTGTTGTTGATCGAAGCCGTCCAAGCCAGTACCACTAATGTGTTGTTATGCTGGGATAGTTTTATGCTTAGGAAGGCAAATTGGGATTTCATGAGGAGAACGTACTTTTAATTCTGGGTTTCAGAAAAGTTAGCCTTATTCTTCAGACAAGGTTGATCTGCTATGTTACTACACGATAGTAGCAGCTTAGAAAAGGACTTTGGAGCAGTAGTGTGAAACTTGTGTTTAGTTTGTATACCTGTCAGTGATCGTCAGATTGCAGAGGTTGGCAGAATTGTCATCTGTACCACTTTAACCTACCTGTTTGTCTCAGTCCGTGCTGTTTGTTCAGATGGCAGCTGTTTGGTTCACTCTTGGTCCAGCCAGCCCTAATTCTTCTGATTTCCTCAGCAGATGCATAATGGGACGAGCTGGTTTAAAAGTTCTCACCTCTCTGAATGTATTTTTTGTGAAGCAGATAGTTCTTTGGAAGTCTTGCAGTCAAAATGTTCATGTGAAAATTGAGAACTTTATACGTATTATTAAGTAACTTGTAAGCTTGAGGTTAAAAAAAGAATGCACAAGACGTTGTATACAAAGATTTGTGTAACTTCTGTCAAAGTGGGGGTGTAACTAGTATTACTGTGTTCCTTAGGTGAGGATGCAGACCTATGCAGTGAATTGTTACAGGAATCACTTGATGCACTACGAGCTTTACCAGAGGCGTCCCTTTTTGATGAAGGGACTGTATCTTCTGTATGGCTGGAAGTGGTGGAAAGAGCTACTAAATTCCTAAGGTCTGTTGTGACTGGGTAAGTTTCTTTTTTTGAGGATTACTGAAGTAGCTGTTAAATAGCAAACATGCATCTCTTAGCAGCTGATGGTATAAACATAATAGTTTATGGAAAATTAAAAAGATTGATTTCCTTTTCTAATGTTGTTATACAAGCAAGCAAAAATTCATGAACTGTTGAAACGATGCTCTTTTAATATGATTTAATTCCTTTAACTATTTAAGAAAAATCTGGAAGTATTCTGAATCACTGCCTGTGGACTTAAATGAAAAATAGTTTCACTAATATAAACTATATCCACATGAGGAGTGCTTTGGTAATAAAATACACGTATACACTTCATTGTGCCTTTCTAACATAGTAAAATAATGCAGACTTCTGTGCATATGAAGGAAAATACACTCATATTGGACTTAGAGCACTCCCCTTCTTTTCCCTGTTATTTAAGGAGGCTTAAAGTTACTCTTTTACAATAGTTACCAGAAATTAATTGTCTTTTGAATACTGGAACTACATCCTTACAGTGAATATCATAAAGAATATTTGAATTTCACCTGTGAAAAAAGTTTTTCATGTTCTTAACATGTTTAATAGAGCTATAGAGTAGATAGTGAAGCTTGAGGCAATTTTAAAGCCTAACTGCCACTCTAAAAAGTGATCTTGTATGGAATGTGTCAGCTTTTCTTCTCAGCTGCTTTCATCATCAGTTTTCTATTTTTCTGTAAGTGTGATGATTCTTGGTGTGTTGTAGATGCTTCTGGCAAGCAAATATGTATTGTTTCCAATTACTTTTTAGTTAATGTATACTGTTTGACTTTTAAATAGAGATGTGCATGGAGCTCCCAGTACCAAAGGGCCAGGAAACATTCCATTACAAGACCAGCACTTGGCACTTGCCATATTGCTAGAACTGGCAGTGCAGAGGGGTACACTAAGGTGAGAAGCATGAGCACGCTGATTTTTAACCATCACTGTCTGTTGGAATGGCCTGAGCAGTGCCTGTCTTCAGTTTTCATGGGTTTGGGTTTTACGTAGTAATTGTGGTTCAAAGCATATGAACCTTTCTTGATCGCCACTGCGTTACAGAATCTTATGTTAGCTAGATTGCAAAATCCATTTTTGATATTTTGATAATCTGTTTAAAATGGAAGGCCTTTACATCTGATATAGCTAAACTTCAAAATATACAAAGTGAATTGTATGGATAACCTAAACCAATGTTTTTAGGAATGCTCATTAAGAGAAGATGTAAACTTTCTCTTTCAGCCAAATGTTGTCTGCAGTTATGTTGTTACTTCAACTGTGGGATAATGGAACGAGGGAAACAGATAATGAGCGATCTGCGCAGGGAACAAGTGCACCCCTTCTACCTTTGCTACAAAGATTTCAAAGTATAATCTGTAATAAAGACATGCCCAATACTGAGGAAGAGATTCAGGTACTTACCCTTGGATTTTTTGAAAGGGACTTTGTATAGGTATTAAATTTCATTTGGCTGGATAAAATAATTATAAAATTATCCAAACAAAATTGGCAGTAGTGTTTTCAGTGTGAGTTGTATATACACCACTGTTTGCTTTTCTTGTATACATTTGAGTTTCTTGAAGTAGGAGAACGAATGTCATAGTATAGTTAGAGGTAAGCGTTGTGTTTCAGAGTTAATGCTTTTGTGGTACTTAACTTAGAGATGTGGTCAGTTAACTTTTCTGCATATTTGGATTGTTTTTATTTAGTGGTGTTTGAAGTTAATTGAACTACGACTCTTAGGCAATATTATTGAGATGAATAAAACAAGTAAATTGGTTTTATTATGCTTGTAACTTTCTATTGTATTCACAGTCTGACTATATTTTCTCCACATGTGTGTTTGGAACTTTCCTCTAGTGTAAGAAAAATGATGTGCAGAGTTAATTTTGTTTCTCTTAAACTTGTGCAGATACACAATATACTTTAGACATGCTGAGTATCTCTAGTGGCATAGAAATACCTTGACTATTCATCTGACTACTCTTTTTTTTTCTTTTCTAGCTGCTGACTTACCCTCTGAGTCCAAATGAAAGTTTCCTAAGGTATCTGACTTTACCACAGGACAATGAGCTAGCGATTGATCTCAGACAAACAGCTGTAGTGATCATGGCCCATTTAGATCGTCTAGCCACCCCATGTATGCCTCCACAGTGCAGCTCTCCTACATCTCATAAGGTAACTGTTTGCAACGTCAGATTTAGTAAGATTTTTTTTCCTAAAAGCGTAACTGATTTTCAATTTGGAAGGAAAATGACTCCTAAGATTCTTCAAATTTCCTTTCGATTTTCACAAGATAACCTTGAATTGCCTAAATTTGTCTATCTTGGGTATCTTTTGTTACATCAGCGCTCTTTCAGTCAGCCTTGGAGTACAATTCTATGGTTTGTGGACTGTTCTTTTTATCACAACACTGTGGCTAATTCTGGCATATTTTGAGCTGTTCTCTGTGTTTATCAGAGTAAATGCTCAAGACCAGATTTTATAAATGTTGGGAGTCTGAAGTATTTTAAAAAAAAAAAAAGAAAAGAAAAAAGTAAATGTTAAACTCCCCAACTTGAAAAATCTCTGGACACTTACTATAGATCTTTATAGCTTATTCAGTACCAGACTAAATCAAATATGATGCATGCATATGTTTATTTTTGGTATCTTCTAATAGGTAAGCTTTATTGACTACTGGCGGTAATGACTGTCACAGATTTGAGTATATTTGGCATATAAAGGTTTAAAAAATAATCTGCTCTATACATTTTATTAAGTTGCTATTTCAAAATTAGTACTTACAGAACTTCTTATTTTCTAGGGTTCTCTGCAAGAGGTCATTGCTTGGGGTTTAATAGGTTGGAAATACTATGCTAATGTGAGTGGTCCAATTCAATGTGAAGGACTTGCCAATCTTGGCGTTGTGCAGGTTGCCTGTGCAGAGAAACGTTTTCTAATATTATCTAGGAACGGACGAGTTTATACACAAGCATACAACAGCGATACTTTGGTAAGAGTTTTTCACATGTTTTTAAAAGTGTTCTGTATTACTTCATAGCATAAGTCTGCTCCTTTAACTATTTACAGTATCTTGGAAGAGTAGATGGAGACATGCTGATATTTATAAGCTTCTGTGTTGTATTTGAACTTTCTGAAACAATGGTTTTGATCTCTTGTATTGATTGATGAAATGCATCTGGTTTCTGTAATCTCTATCAGGCTAGAGGTTATGAATACAGTGATAATTGCTTTCACTGGTATGCTGGCCTTGGTAACAACTTTAGAAATGGGCAGATATGAAATGAGTTTTACTTCAGCAGTGTAACACTGTGCCCAAACTGGGTAGTTTCTCAATCAAAATGACACTGTAACAGAAACATTTGTCACTAAGATTGCCTGTAAGATTAAGGTAAACACCATTTTCCTATGTACTGAAGACCTTATAAGGATGGGAATAAAATAACTTGAAAGAATTTTTTGTCAGATTCAAGTAGTAGATTGATCTTTTTTCTTTATACCTTTACCTCATTAATTTGAGTGCACAGTTTTGATAAAGCCTTAAGAAAACTGTACCTAGTTACTCTGTATATAGGCAAGTGATAGAAAATATAAGCAGTTTTTCTAAGTGTGTTGGCTTTTGTTTGATTCACAGGGACCACAGCTGTTACCTCATCAAAACTGTGCACTCAAATTAATAAAGCCTTAAGAAAACTGTACCTAGTTACTCTGTATATAGGCAAGTGATAGAAAATATAAGCAGTTTTTCTAAGTCAGGTTGCTTTTGTTTGATTCACAGGGACCACAGCTGGTGCAGAGTCTAGCTTCCAGGAATATTGTGAAGATAGCAGCACATTCAGATGGGCATCACTATCTTGCGTTATCAGCAAATGGTGAAGTTTTCTCCTGGGGTTGTGGAGATGGTGGAAGACTAGGCCATGGGGATACAGTGTATGTAATAAAAATAATTGTAACGTTTGTTTGCCACTGTTCTGAATTCATGGGAAAAACTAGTTGTGTATACAAGCACATTCAGCATTGGGCATTTGTCTCTGTTATTGAACAGAAGTTGTGTTCTCCCTACATGTTTTTTCTGCCTGTAATATTCCCAGTTCTGTATTAATGCTGCTTTCTGAAACACTTGTAGATAGAGGAGGTAGTAGTGGTTGCACTGTTATGAGGCCTTTTATTTATGGTTTTATGAATCCACAATGCATTTTCTCTAGAAACATTGACTCAAATGTTGGAGTGGGGTACATTTCCTATGCAGTCATGTTGCATATATCATTCCTTTTTTCCCCTGTGTTAAATAATAAAGTTACTGTCCTGCTTCTGTGTAAGAGCAGTCTTCTACAGGAGTGTTCTGTAGGGGGTGTACATCAATATGTTTTAGAGGTTTTAAATGTCTTCCTCCAGTGCTGAATTCCCTATAAAGCAAGGGAATTACTACACAAGGGTTAGCAGTGTCATGAAATTAATTATTCAGGTATAGTAATTAAAGATAATATTTTTTATAATAGATATATTTTAAAAACACTGCATTAATTTAATTGGAAATAGAAATCATAGTTGTCAGACGTCCCTTCAGTGGCTTGTATGTTGTTGAACAGTCTGAACTTGATTTTTGGCTTATAGCTCTATTTACTAGTCTGAAGTACCAAGACATAATAAGGTTTTTGCATGTAGAATTGCAGCAACTGTTTTCTGACAAGTATGTCACACCCCTTATTATCTACTTGTCAGATCACCTTGTGTGAAATATGTTACCTTCTCTTTAAATAGCCCTCTGGAGGAACCTAAGATGATATCTGCTTTATCTGGAAAGCAAGCTGGGAAACATGTTGTTCATATTGCATGTGGGAGCACCTATAGTGCAGCCATTACTGCTGAAGGAGAACTATATACATGGGGACGAGGAAACTATGGCAGGCTTGGTCATGGTATGTTACTTGATATCTTAAAGTAAGTTTTTTGTCAAAGAATTATTTGGTGCCTATCTCAAATGATCTTTTATCCAGTTTACGTAGAGCTGTTTTGAGAACCATACGTGGCTTCACATGAATTGAAATAATTATGGGAGGGATTGTCTCAAAACCACTAAATTTCTAGGATTTATGTGAAAATAAGCAATTGGATGGAGAAGAAAAATCTGAGCTGTTCTCTGTTTCCTTCCTTGTGAAGGAAAGACTATCTCATGGGTTAAATCCATATTAGATACCTAAGGAACCGTATGGGAGCTTAGTCATGATGCTCAAATCTGAAAACAAAACCAAACTGAGACACCCACACAACAAAACACCCAAAAGCAAATTAAAAAAAAAAACAACAAAAAAACCGAACAAAAGAACCTACCAGGCCTTCTTGGTTTTGCTTCTCCCAAATCTACTTTGTTTTGAAGGTTCCAGTGAAGATCAGACCATCCCAATGCTGGTCACAGGACTGAAAGGACTCAAAGTTATTGATGTATCCTGTGGGAGTGGAGATGCTCAGACTCTTGCAGTTACTGAAAATGGTCAGTAGCAAAATATAACTTAACACTTTAAGCAAGCTTACCTTTTCTTCCTTTCCTTCTGAAGATACTTACATTGCAGATATGCTTATTTCTAGTGGCTTGAATTCTGTAAGAATTTGAAGCTGAAATTCCTTTTGGGGAAATATGTATGTACGTTTATACATTTTGCATATATATATACAGATATATTTCTGTGCATAGCTATGAAATATATTCATTATGAGTATGAAAATATATATTTTCATTTATGGGATATATATTTAAAATAACCATGTAAATATTTGATTTAGACACAAAACATTACATATATGTACATACGTGTCTAAATGTTACTTATTATTATATAAGTGCAAATAACTTGCGTTGTTGCAACAGCCGGAATTTTGAGTAGGAAAGTTGTCTGTGTTAACCCATGGGAAGTGCCAAAGAGAGGCTATATTGAAATTCTGCTTCCCAGCATCCCTGAGTGAGGTGCATAGGGTGAGACAGATTCAAAACCTGAATTTCACTGTGTGAGGTTAAGCCCCAAAGTCATCCCTTAGTAAGCAGACAGTTCTTGGAAGCTAGTTGTTCTTTTAAAATATAGCTGGATGTGGTGATGTGCAGTATTTAAAAGCTGAAAGATTGACTCATCTAGGAAATGGAAACCCAGATTTTAATTTTTTTTTTTCCCCCCCACCTCTTAGTCTCCTTCTTGCATGCTTCCATTGCTTGTCAGAGTACCTTAGGCTAGCCTATGTGAGTAGGGAACATAAATGCATCAGAATGTAAAACAAGACTTTCTTTTTGGACATGCATGGATTTACCATTTGTGAACCATAATTTTATTTAATACAGATGCAGAATGACTTGACTATTTCTAAATTCCTAGATCAGGGCTTAGATTTAGTAGTGTATTTCAAAAGAACATGGTAGACAATGGCACTTTTAATTTTATTTGTGAGATAGTTGAATGACAAGAACTGAAAATTAAAACAGGTTTCACAGACAATTTGGCCATTTGATGTGGAAAAAGATTTTGCAAGTTCTTTATTTATAAAACCTTATAACAAAAGAAGGCAGTTTTTGACTAAAGATCATACTACAGGTTTGATTTGCAGTAAATCCTGTGATTCGTATGTTTTTAAGAAGAATTCTCAGTGCATGTTATGTGTTACACTTTTATCAGCATGAAAACTTTTCAAATCTTCTTTCTTATTTTCATGATCAATTAGAAATCGTAACTGCTATCCTTAAATTACACTTTGAAAACTGTGGTTGTTATAGAATCTCAGATTTTTAAGAAATTGCTTGTCAAAACAAGTAACTTCATTACATGAAAAAGCAATGCAGTATTTTTTGTTTTCTTTCTCTTAATTTAAAGGCCAAGTATGGTCTTGGGGTGATGGAGATTATGGAAAACTGGGAAGAGGAGGCAGTGATGGTTGCAAGACTCCCAAGTTGATAGAAAAACTTCAAGATCTGGATATTGTGAAAGTACGCTGCGGGAGTCAGTTCTCTATTGCTTTAACCAAAGATGGCCAGGTCTACACCTGGGGAAAAGGTGACAATCAAAGACTTGGGCATGGAACAGAAGAGCATGTTCGATATCCCAAACTGCTGGAAGGCTTGAAAGGTAATTATCAGTTGGAAATATTCCAAGGTTCTTTTTGCTGTTGTTGGAATCTTTTACGGGGTGCTAGTGATCTCAACTTTGAGAATGGCAGTACCGTGTACCCTGTCATATTTTATGCTGGTTGCACTGAGAGAGGTAATAGTGCACATTTCCCGTCGCTTCTGCGTGGGAAGTGTGGAGATTAAAATTCTAGCAGACTTAGAGACACTATGTTATGACTACTTTAAATGCTACTTGTCTTGTGTTCTCTTTGTTCTTGCTGCTTTTCTCCTATTATGTTCACAGAAATGCTTATTTAAAACATATATTTTTGCATTGTCACGCAACTATAACTTATAGATATATGGTTAGATTAAGTCATGAGAATGGAATAAATGAAAATCACAGGCAACAAGTAATGTCATTGAAGTTGTATTTGTGCCAGTACTTTTGTCTAGTTCGTAACAGAGTGAAGATTATTTCTTGCATTTGTGAGAAACCTGAGGTTCTGTAGGGGAGGATGAGGAAGAAGCATCTTTTATTGCTCTGTCTTTCCGAAAAGTGTTATTCAGATATGATGAATGACCTAATTGAAGATAAATTCTGAACTAGTGACTACAATATAACTTTACAGTCTCTGTTCATAGATGGGGAGATCTTTTAATAAACCTTTCCTGAAAAAGTATCTAAGTAGAAGGGATACAAAATAGAAGTGGTTTTTTTTTTTAAACTCTTGTACTTAAGCTATCTCTAAAGAATCTTTAAATATTTCCTTGGTTTTTCTTTTGCTGTACTCTTCCTATGCACTACTAAGGCAAAGGTGAGGCTCTTGACATTCATAATGTCTTCATAGTTAAATATGGTTGTAATTAGCACAGTTTTCCTTACCTGATTTTTTTTTTTTTGTGTTAATGATTGTCATCTTTAAGTTATATTTTCAATATTTGACTTTCCTGTCAGGAAAAAAAGTGATAGATGTGGCAGCTGGATCTACCCATTGTTTAGCACTGACTGAAGATAGTGAAGTGCATAGCTGGGGAAGCAATGATCAGTGTCAACATTTTGATACTTTGCGAATCACTAAACCAGAGCCCACAGCTCTCCCAGGATTAGACACAAAGCATATTGTTGGAATTGCTTGTGGGCCTGCTCAGGTAAGTTTTATTTCTGAATTGTTAATTATGATTTGTCTTTGCCTCTCACTCAGACTAGTCTGTACACTAATCCCAGTCCCTATTTCTGTGCTTGCATGACTTTCCTTATTCTTATTACTTATTCTAAATAAATGAAAGCTCGGAAAGAAGATACCGTGTGCAGTTTCTGTGTCAAAAATGGATGACTAGCTTTCCCTCTGTTGGGTATTCTGAGAAGTAGCTATTTACCTGTTTTGTTTTTTTGTCTGGTACAGCAATTGAAGAGTTGTCAGGCAGAATGTTTCCTGCAGCAAAGATAGTGAAGTGTCTGGACTGGCGTAACAGCACTTTGGAAAATGTGATAAGAGAGTTCTTTTCTGGGATTGGTAGGGTTTTATATGTGTTTACAAGGATGCAAGTGGAGAGTTCTCTTCAACAGATATGCTGATGTTATTTCTTCATCTTCTATTACTGTTTGAAGGCAGATGCTAGTTTTGAACTCCTATCTCTAATCAGTGTCACCTTATATTTGGGAAATAACTGTTGAACTTTGTATATTGTTTCCATTTATAGAGTTTTGCTTGGTCATCATGTTCAGAATGGTCAATAGGCTTGCGAGTGCCTTTTGTGGTGGATGTTTGCCCCATGACATTTGAGCAGCTAGATCTGTTACTGAGACAAGTGACAGAGGGAATGGATGGCTCCTCTGACTGGCCCCCTCCTCAGGAAAAGGAGTGTATGGCTGTGGCAACATTAAACCTTCTAAGGCTTCAGGTACCTTCAATTTCTTACACATTGAGCAGTTGTTGAGCTAAATGTTTCAGTAAATAGCTTGAATGAAAATAATGGACTCAATGTGCTTTAAAACATTTTTATTGATGTAAAAAGTGAAATAAGTACAGTATCACTTTCTACTCTTTGAAATTTGACAGCTAGTAGTTGTTTTTTTTCTTATCGACAGCTTTTGGATCTCATTGAAAGTGAACATGGAAAAATGTCGATGGGTTAAGCCTTGTATACTCACTCAATAAGCCCATACACTCAGAGATTTTGAGCATTTTTAAGAATAGCATTTTTAAGAGTGAATGTCCTCTTTAGAAGGTATCTGACAGTCACTGAAAGATGTGCTGCTTTTCTTAGCATACTATAGTGAAGTAGAAACAGTTTAGGTTATTCTTTGTTATTATAGTTCAGAGTTTTAGGGGATAAAAGTTAAATATAGTTCATAAGCTTTGAGTATTAGTTTAAATTTAGTATGTATTTGGGCAAACCAGCATTTCTCTTTAATGTTGTAAATTTACAGAGAAAGTTTCTATCGTGGTAAGTGAACTTACTCAATTGCTCCAGGACTGACTTTTTTTTCCCCCCAAGTTCACATCTCTGTGTAATTAAAATCTGCCTTTTTTTTCTGTTTTTTCAGCTTCATGCTGCCATTAGTCATCAGGTAGATCCAGAATGCCTTGGCTTAGGTTTGGGCAGTATCCTGCTCAATAGCCTGAAACAGACTGTGGTAACATTAGCCAGTAATGCTGGTGTTCTTAATACTGTCCAATCAGCCGCTCAAGCAGTGCTGCAGAGTGGATGGGCTGTGTTACTGCCAACAGCAGAAGAGCGGGCTAGGGCGCTCTCAGCGCTCCTACCCAGTGCAGGTTGGTCCTAAGATTTAAACCTATTTGATTTGTGCTTGTGTTTCTAGTTCATTAATAGCTTCTTCCATTCTTAGTTTCAGGAAATGAAATGAATGTAAGTCCAGGGCGTAGATTTATGATTGACCTCTTGGTAGGCAGCTTGATGGCTGATGGAGGCTTAGAATCTGCATTAAATGCTGCTATTACTGCAGAAATTCAGGTATGTTTCAGCAGCTTTGCAGTTCTTTATAAACAGAATAAGGTGATATATCAAGTGTTTTGTGAAGTTTGTGGATTGATGTTATCCTCTTTTGACCTGAAACTTGAGCCAGTGTTTGTATGGAAGTATGAATCATATTCTCCTTTTTAGTAGCGTGTTTCTTTTCGTTGCCTAGAGTGATGATTTTAACAATGGTAACAAACTTTTTCATAAAGCTCTGTAATAGGAGCATAATTTTACAAAGCACTTTACATCCCTCTTTCTGTGGGATTCTTGAGTTCTTCACTTCCTTGATTTCACCTATCTCTCTCCAGCAGAAATTTCAGCCTTATTACTTACAAATTCAAGATGAATGAATTCTTTGCAGCATCCCAAATTTCCATAGGTTCCACTTCAGACTGGTTCGAATGTTTAACAGATGCTGACTAGTTATAAAAAGGATGAAAGAAACATTCTGTATATACAGTCTTCTCCATTAGCCTCTCAGAGATGGGACATCCTCTACACAGACTGCTTTAAATTGCCGTATTTATGTATGACTGTGAAAACAAAAACGTGCTTTTCCCTTGCCTCTCTGTTTTATTCTTCCAAGTATATTTTTTCTTGGTTTCTCTCCACTGTTGTTAAATGGGAAGGTTTATGATGCAGAGGAAACGCATGTGTTAAGTTTTGCTTTAATGCGTAGTCTAGTGTTAGCATTCTCTGTTGTGTTTAAAGACGTGCAGGACCTCTTAATTCTTCAGCAAGTCTCCGAGGGCACATTTATGTTACACCATAGAGGTGCAGGAGCCAACTTCAGATACATGCTGAAAGTGATCTAGGTGGCAGCACGCAGCACACAGCACAGGTTAATTTACATTGTCTAAAACCTGGGTGAATTCGTTTCCTTAGAGTTCTGTGTGACTACAGCTCAGTAGCAAATCTAACCTAGGTTCTTCTACAGTGGACTGGGTTACTTATTTTTATAGATACAGAGTAAACATGCCTTCAGTTGTGAATTGTGCAGCAGCTACAGACATGTTTAAACAGACATAGAACAGAAATCAATTGTTAACTTGGTTTGGTGGAAATTGAATTTGGAGTTTGTCTACTCTTGTTTACCTTCAGACACCCCCCTCCCTTTCTTTTTATATTATAATTGTTTGAAAAAAAAAGTGCCCGTGTGGTTGTTATGGAATATACAATACACATTTGGTAGGAATTGTTTCATTTCTGGCATAGGTAAAAGTAACTTCATCTAGTTATCACGAATACTTGTAAGTAAAATGTTTCATAATCACAGTGGCATTTTGCACGTTTTCTTTAACTTGATTTACGTTTTTAGGATATTGAAGCAAAAAAAGAAGCACAGAAAGAAAAAGAAATTGATGAGCAAGAAGCAAATGCATCAACACTTCATAGGAGCAGGACTCCTTTGGACAAAGACCTTATTAATACTGGAATCTATGAATCTGCAGGAAAACAAAGCTTGCCATTAGTTCAGTTAATTCAGCAGTTACTAAGGTAAGAGCTTTGAATTTGTCTTTTTTTTGTACAGAAGATCTGTTTAGATGTTTTATGAACTAGTCACCTAAAGGATGACTAATTTTGGTTAGCAGATAGTCTCCTGCTAGCATTTTAGCTCCTCAGAATTTGAAATATTGAGCATTGTCCTAGCTTGTCTATAGTTTCGCTGTTATATGTTTGCTAAGGAGGAAAGTTCTGTACCTAATTACCTGATTTTAGAAAGACTTACTGCCTGGCTTTTATGGGTTTTTATACTACTTCCTGTACTCTGAAAGTCTGTGTAAAAAATATGGAACAAACATTCAAAAGCTTGTCCTTAGAAAGTATGAGAATCGGCACAAATTTATTTAGAATTGAATGTTTTGGTCTATTTAGAACTGAGTATTTTGCCTCAAGGAGACTGTAGCTGGGGGGCTGTATGTGAGGAAGAAACCTGAATTTTAAATTCTTGATGCTGAGAAAGAATTGTGAATGCATGACCAATAGGGTGCTGAGAACAGAACTTCTTTATGTTAGCTACAGCAGTATTTAATATATAGCATATGTAGCAGGAAACAATTATGGGAATACTAAGAAATTCATTGTACTTTTTCACTGAATTGTGATGATAACAATGTCGTCTAATCATTACTGAGACTCTTCTGAGCTAGTTTTTTGTAGTGAGTGATGACAAAAAATACAGAATTGATGTATTTTACGAATCCTGTTAAGCAAAATGCCTCCACAAAAACCATTGACATTTTGAGTACTATGGTGCAAACAAGGGAACATCTTACAAAGAAACTTTGCTTAGATTTCTTATATGTTTCTGTGAAATTCTGGCAAAAGCTTAACCTGTGTTTCTGTGGACTGTCTTCACTGTCAACTCCCTTTAAGCGCTTTACAATATTTTTACACCAATTAGGAACATCGCTTCACAGACGATAGCCAAACTAAAAGATGTTGCTCGTCGCATTTCTTCCTGCATGGATCAGGAACATTACAGCAAAGAGAGATCTGCTTCTCTGGACCTGTTGCTCCGTTTTCAGCGTCTACTTGTTAGTAAACTTTACCCAGGAGATTGTGTTGGGCAGGTGTCTAATACATACAGTAAGTTGTTGTAAAAAAATAAGCCCCACCCCCCAAGCATTTCTAGAATACCTTTTACAGGATAGCAGTTTCTTATTTAGATTTACCTTCTTGTCTCATTTATCAGCCTAGTTGCTGAGTCTATCTGAAAAGTGTTTGAAAGTAGTTTCTTTAAATTGTTTTCTGTAAAGGAAAATTTCTCTTTGGAAGGTAACAGTATCTAGATAATAAATCTTTCATAAACTTTTTTCAAAAGTTTTAAAAAGATGTGGTTTCTTAATTCATTGTGGCTACATTTCAGAAGAGTTTGACAGCTTTTGAAATCTGTTTCTTAAATATCACAATGTGATGGGTTTCTGTGCTCTTCCTCCTTTTTATGCAGGCCCTGACCTCTTAGGCGTTGGCTCTTTACTGAAGAAATACACTGCTCTTCTATGCACGCACATTGGTGATATACTTCCTGTGGCAACCAGCATTGCTTCTACTAGTCACAGGCATTTTGCAGAGGTATCTCGTGTCGTGGATGGAGATTTAACAGGTAGATTTTCTTTGTTATCCTCCTTTCCTCCCCTTCCATGAAATTATAAAGTAATATTGTAAATGTTCTTGAAAGTTCTAAATGACTAAAAAAGAGTCGATTTAATCTTTTGATTGATGTGACAGAAGGAGGGCAAACTTGATGAGGAAAGTAAGAGCTTTATACTAAAGCAGTAATAGAAGGCAGAATGTATTGCGTGGTGATTTATTTCTGCAATGCTATAAATGTAGATCTTGAATTAAATCTGACTATCTTCTGTGCTTTAGGCATTCTTCTTCCAGAATTGGTGGTTTCTATAGTGCTACTCCTCAGTAAAAATGCTGGATTAATGCAGGAAGCTGGTGCTATCCCTCTGTTGGCTGGCTTGCTAGAACATCTAGACAGATTTAACCATTTAGCCCCTGGAAAGGAAAGAGATGACAATGAGGATTTAGCATGGCCAGGGATAATGGGTAAGTACTACTAGCATCTGAACTATTTATTTCTGTTTTCATAAAGTAGCTATATAAAAATGGTGACTGTTCATGAGCTACTCTCAGGAGGGGAATTCTACTTTACAGTACAAATTTTTATGAACCAATTCATATGACAATATTTATTTCTGTCAATAAATTCTTAAGGCAGTTACCTATAGAGGTAGGATTAGCAAAGAACAAATGCAACTTTTTAAAGAAGTAGTTCACATCATTTTGGACTTTGAGTGTAAAAATTTGCAGTGAAAACATGAGTAATACATCTATGTGTTTTGTTACTGAATTCTATCCATAACATTGAGAGAGTAATGTGAAAGCTCTGAAATAATAAAGTTTTCTTTTCCCAGGGTACTTTATAATATGAGCTGTCTGGGGTGAAAAGAGAAGTAGAAAATGTGCATTTCTGACTGTGGGCATTTTACTGGTGGAGAGAGGAATGAAACATGGTTGGCATAACCCAAGAAAGCTAAAAGTCACACACTGCTAGGCAGTGTGGGGAGAGAGCAAAAACTATGTGAACATTCAGTTACTGGTATGATAGAGCAAACTGAGATGAAGGCATGTGTGTGCGAAAACTGCTCTGATATTTCTTGCCTGGATGAAATTACCTTTACTTTGAAATAGTTTACTGATACGTAAATTGGAAGTGTTCTAACATGTATGTAACCTTCCCTGTTTTATTTAAAAAAAAAATAAATTAAAATCTGGATTTAGACTGAAAATAAATATACAGACAATGCTTTGCAGGCAGGCATGTAATAAAACTGAAGTAATTTGGAGGGAGAACTGACTAGAGCAGTGATTTGCCAGAACACTGGTTGTTCTGCTCTACCTCCAAACAAAACAGCCGTATAGTTGGGCAGTGGTAGGTCTTTGACAGTGTGACATTGAAGATTAGCACATAAAAGAATACAGCATACAGACAATTTAATTGCATAATATGTGGACAGGAACATATTAATAGCCATTTTGACTTTTGTGCATCTGAAAAGACAAGCAGCCTTTGAACAGAAGTGAAGAATTTGGTTAGGCAACTATTAAAAGAATGTTCAGAAAAAACCTTTGCTTTCTGTTTTTCTGTTGATAAATTCTCTATTCTGTTTTATACCTGTAGGTTCATTTTTTACTGGCCAGAGTTGCAGAAATAACGAGGAGGTGACACTTATACGTAAAGCTGATCTAGAGAACCACAACAAAGATGGAGGATTTTGGACAGTGATTGATGGGAAAGTGTATGATATAAAGGACTTCCAAACTCAGTCTTTAACTGGCAGTAGCATACTTGGTGAGAATCAACATCTGAATTTAAAGAGAAAAATTACTTCTGTTTCAAAACTGGATGGCATAAACAGATTTCTAAATATTATACTGACTACCTCACTCTTTCTTTAGCTCAGTTTGCAGGTGAGGACCCAGTTGTTGCTTTGGAAGCTGCTTTGCAGTTTGAGGACACACGGGAGTCAATGCATGCCTTCTGTGTTGGCCAGTATATGGAGGTAAAAATGTTGTATGTTAATGGATACACACTTTCTAAAGTAAAGTACTGCTTTGCTTTCAAAATTCTTGTTGGAGCTCAGTTCTAGCTTTCAACTCCTATTTCTTTTAATTAGCCTGACCAGGAAGTGATCACAACACCAGATCTCAGTACTTTGTCATCGCCTCTAATAGACACAGAAAGGAATCTGGGTCTTCTCCTTGGACTGCACGCTTCCTACCTGGCAATGAGCACACCACTTTCTCCTCTGGAAGTTGAATGTGCCAGTAAGCAGAACTTCATTTTAAGCTTAAATAAGTGACTTGTCAAATCATACAAGAAAAAGACACAGGCTAGATAAAATAACTGGAAATCTAGCACCTCTTTAGTCTTGCTATCTTCTGAAGTTCTTTATTCTTAACATTAATTACCACACTCATCAGGGTCCAATAATTTAGCAAGATGTAAATTGAGATTAGATAGTTTTGAACAGTTAAATATCCAGAATTTTGCAACATGCAAGATAGAACATCAGAAGAGAAAGGAGTCTCCGTATAGCACAGTTATCTCACTAATTTGTGTTCGGTTACGAGTGCCAGAAGCATCTGGTGTTGGATTCGATCTTGTTGGGTATCTTAGTTTGGTGGACAGAGGGTATAATTCAATATTAATCACAGAAAAATAGCCTAAGGGCCTATTATCTCTAAACAGGTGATGGCTACCCTGTTACTTGTTTCTCAGTTGCAGAACTGTTTTTTTCTGTGGAAAAAGTGTCAGCAAATGGAAGAGCTGCTAAACCTTGTTTGAAGCTGCATATGCATTTTATTTTGGGGAGTTATTGCGTCTTGATAGCTTAGTCTTTCATCAGAATATTCATTTGTGTTTTCTTTCTTTTAGAATGGTTGAAGTCATCTATCTTTTCTGGAGGCTTGCAAACTAGTCAGATTCATTACAGTTACAATGAGGAAAAAGATGAAGACCACTGCAGTTCGCCTGGTAACACTACCCCAAATAAATCCAAACTATATACACATCGATTAACTTTGAGCGACCATTCGCAACCTTTTCTCCAAGCTATTGCAGATAATAATATTCAGGATCACACCGTGAAGGTAAGCCCTCAGTAGTTCTCTTAACAAAAAATGTTGCTGAAGGGTGACAGCGATGGCCTGAACCACTTTTGTTGGTGAAAATTCTCCAAAAGTTATAGCAAAACAATTGCAAAAGTTATTTCAGAATTATTTTTTGTGAAAGGTGTGGTTCGGTAATACTAATGGATTAAATTTGTGTATTTCACTTAATATCATAACAGTACAGTTTTTTCTTTTGAATTTTTGACTGGGAGAACTAAAAAATTTAAATGTATTCTTACCAAACAAATTAATAATGCATTACTTTCCACATGAAGTTTTAGTAGTATTGACAGACCCTGCTCACCTCCAGTTGAACTAAGATGGAGTTTTCTTTGTCAAAGTGCAAATGTATTTTGTGTGTCAGGTGCATGGTATGCCTTTGTCTTAAAGTCCCTTTGTGCCTTGGGGTTCAGGTTTCACCTAGTTGGAATTGTGGATATTATAAAACCCCCTAAGATTTACATTGATCACTGTCTTGTGTAATACCTTCAGACTTTCTAACCCTTTGAGTTCAGCTCCTTTATCAAAAAAACCCAAGTAAGTCCTTGGGAGGATAGGATAGCAGTAATGATGAGTCAGGAGAAGACAATTAAAAATCATGTTAGGTGATCTGGCTATCTCAGGAAGAGATAAAAGCAGTAGTACCTTTGTTCCTTGAGCCATGTTACTCTTCATACAAGAAGAATGGTACAGGGTATTCTTTGTAGTATTGGGTTGTAATAGCTGTGTATTAAATAGTGCATACTACACGTTGTATGTCTCTTCTGAATGTTAGTTCAGACTGCGGAGGTTATTCACTGTTATTTAAATGCTGGCTGCAGTATTTTGGGTCCTTTCATTGTGTTTAAAAACAAAGCTAAATAGAGGCTGTTGTGTGTTTTTTGTAGGACTTCTTATGTCAAATAGAGAGATACTGTAAACAGTGTCACTTAACAACACCAATCACATTCCCTCCTGAGCATCCTGTGGAAGAAGTAGGACGCTTGTTATTATGTTGTCTTCTGAAGCATGAAGATTTGGGTAGGTAGGCTTGTGGTACAGCTGTCCCAGAATACATTTTGGACCAGTTTAAACTCTGCTATGGATGATTTTGGAAATGCATATTCAGAGATTGTCTTTTCCCATTAAGGTCATGTAGCGCTGTCTCTTGTTCATCCTGGTACCCTTGGTGTTGACCAGGTAAAGCACAAAACCTTACCAAAATCTGTAGTGGATGTGTGTCGTGTTGTCTACCAAGCAAAATGCTCGCTGATTAAGGTAAGCTTCTTACCTTGCCGAAGTTTAGATTCTTTTCCATTTGAAGTGTTTTAATAAAAAGTTATATATTGTTCATTTTACTGTATATTTAACAGTAACCTAATCTTTCAATGCCTTTGTAGACCCATCAAGAGCAAGGACGTTCTTACAAGGAAGTTTGTGCTCCTGTCATTGAGCGTTTGAGATTCCTATTCAATGAACTACGTCCTGCAGTTTGCAATGATCTCTCTATAATGTCTAAATTTAAACTGCTGAGTTCCTTGCCCCGGTGGCGGAGAGTAGCTCAGAAAATAATTAGAGAAAAAAGGAAAAAAAGAGGTAAGGCAACATTAATGTTGTATTTTCTTTGAAATATTGAAAATCAATCTCATTCCAAGGTTTGCTGCTTTGTATTTGAGACTCTTGTTAGCTAAATCATGAAAGCCATTTGCTCTTTGCTGCATTTTCATGAAGTTTTCTAAATCAATGGTTACATGTCAGTTCGTGCAGCAAGAACAGGTGGACAAGGAAGTCAAGTTTAGGTGAGGCATGCTTCTTTGTGTTCCAGCATATTACAAATGATCCGTCAATATCAGTCCCTCTGAATTGATTTTAGTAAAGTTTAACTAGAAGTGACATCTTATTAAAATCATATTTTATTAAGGCAGAGTAGTCAAAGAACTGTTTCACTGGAAATAAATTAATGTGGTTAACAAACAACAAAGTGCTTTTGAAGTTGGTCTTTAAAGATGAAAGCATAATGCAGATATTACCAGAGCTAATTTGATAATAGTTGGACATAGAGTTCGCCAAGAGTACATTTCCATTTTAGAACAGGCAGATCTTAAGCATTCTGTATATTTAGGTTATTCCTCAAACCTAAAAATGTGAAAGTGTAAAATGTTATCAGATTACATGAAAGAATAATGTTTTTATTTCTAGTGCCAAAAAAATCTGAATCTGCTGATGTGGAAGAATCCAAAATTGGAAATGAAGAGAGTGATTTAGAAGAATCCTGTGTGGTACCTCACAGTCCTGTACCTATAGATAAAAGGCCCATACCAATCAAATCGCCCAAGGTAGAATATCAGATTTTAAATCAACCTTGTGAATAAAAGTGAGGAAAAAAAATGAGCTAAAGCATGATTGCTCTAACTTGCATTTAATATTCTGATAATAATGTTTGGGATATGTAGGTATTGTGCATTGTTTTAGTGAAACCTGGAATAATTCTTAAAAATAAGCTTGTGTGCTGCATATTTAGAACATGTAAAGATACCTTCTTTAATTTTTTAGATTGTCGATAATCTTAGAAGTGTTGAGAGAAAGGTACATTTCAAAATGAAAGGTTGTGATGAGTTACTTCCTCTTTTTTTGAGTATTAATACATTTGAAATTTTACGTAGTAATTGTAAACAAGATAATGAGTTATAAATAATAGTAAACTCTTTCCTGGCTTTGAAGAAGTTTCTTTCCCCCCCTGCGTGCCCCTGCCCCTTAGCATTTGAAATTCGGACATGGTTTTACACGAAATAACTTATATTTTCAGTAGCTTAAATTGTTGAAAATGTTTTAACATGTTACCTTCCTGTTTTGCAGGATAAGTGGCAGCCACTTTTGAGTACAGTTACAGGTGTCCACAAATACAAATGGCTGAAGCAAAATGTCCAAGGCTTGTATCCACAGTCTGCCCTCCTTAACACTATTGTTGAATTTGCACTTAAAGAAGAGCCGGTGGATGTAGAAAAAATGAGAAAATGTTTATTAAAACAGGTAAAATGGATGAAAATAGACCTGCATGTTTTAGCAGTTTACATGAGTATGACGATTTTTTTTTCTCTTTTGCAGTTGGAAAGAGCAGAAGTTCGTCTGGAGGGAATAGATACTATTTTGAAATTGGCAGCAAAAAATTTTTTGCTCCCATCTGTGCAGTATGCTATGTTCTGTGGATGGCAGAGGCTTATTCCAGAAGGAGCCAATATAGGGTGGGTAAAACTTTCTGTTGCTTTTGCTTTCACAGTTCTTCAGTAAGAAAAAAAAATACTTATTTCTGTTGTTGTTTTTCTATGAAGGGAACCTCTTACTGACTGCTTGAAGGATGTTGATCTGATCCCACCGTTTAACAGAATGCTGCTAGAAGTAACTTTTGGAAAGTTGTATGCGTGGGCTATTCAGAACGTCCGAAACATCTTGCTAGATGCTAATGCAAAATTTAAAGAACTAGGTGAATCTCATTTTGTTACTGTTGGCTGGGGAAAAGACAGTTTTAAATGAATATTGTTGCATTTTTTTTTAAAAGCTTGCAACAATTGGGATCCTAAAATCAGTTCCCTTGGTTTGTGCTGAGAATGACTTTCTGTCTGTGTGTCGTTCCACCCCCACCTGCCCTAACCTCCCCTTAACTGATTCTTCAGTGTTTAAGAGAGTGTTTCTGTTTTCCCAGGTGATTGATGACTCATTAGTAACATTTTACCATTAAAATCTTAATTATAGAAAGTTTCTTGGAACTTCAGCTTGTAAGTTCTTAAAGCCAAGCAGGGAATAAAAAATATTTTAAACCATCAATCAAACAAATTTATAACCTGTTTTATTGTAGCTCCTAAGTGTCAACTGACTTTGTTTTTTATGTTGCTTTTGAATTAGGTGTGCAGCCTGTTCCTCTACAGACAATTACTAATGAGAATCCAGCAGGACCAAGTCTTGGAACTATTCCACAAGCACGTTTTCTGCTGGTCATGCTCAACATGTTGACGCTGCAGCATGGTGCCAATACCTTGAGTCTCCTCCTTAATTCTGGCATGCTAGCATTGACGCAAACAACACTGCGGCTGATAGGTACAAAATCTTGTTTGGAATAAAGCACTTATTTTATAATGTATTTATCCTGAATTTTTACCTGTTGGTGTACCCAAATTATAGAATGACTTTGCTGCTTAAAGATAGTACTTTAATGCTATTTACCTTTACCACTGATACAAAACCCACATCCGTAAGCACAATTGAGAAGGAAGTTAGTTTGACTATAGCCTTTATTCAATCATAATTTTTCTTCTGAGCCTTTGCTTTGGCCATCCTTTGCTAGAATTTAGGACTGATAGTGTAGTTTTGGTGGAAACATTACAAATAAATTAAAAATGGAAAATTTAAAATGAAAACATTAAAAACTACCTACTCCCTACTCATTCAGTTTCATTTGTTCTACCTATTAAAACCCTTCCAGGTATGCATATTTAAGGTGGAAGCTTGCTTTGTTCTATTATAAGCAGTTCTGTGGTGCTTTTTGACATGATTCAAATTCTTCTGATTTTTCTTGTTTTCTTAGATAATCGCAAATATTTGTTCTTGTAACTTGTACTTAACTGGGGTGCACATGAGGAGTTTTTCCGAGAACATTCTGTTAGTAGAACCGTTTAGACACTGGAGTTGTCATTATAATGTCTTTATTATTTGTCTCTTATTTTTGTTCAAAATTAAGTGTTTAAAGTCTTGTGCATTCAAAACCGTTATATCCTAGTTTCCTAAAAACTCATCTGATTGTATCACCTGTTAAGTCAGCTTTCCTATTTGTTATTGCTTTCATACTGCAAACCTTATGCGCCTTAAAGTTTGACAAAGATATGTATAAAAACTTGTGGATGGTTTTAAATTTTTTTCATGTTTTTTCCTCTTTAGGACCTAGTTCTGACAACATTGAAGAAGATATGATTGCCTCTTCTCATGGAGCTTCTGCCACAGTCCTAGAAGAGTCAAGAAAGGAAAGTACACCTGTTCAGCTCCCTGTTTCTGGGCCAGAACTGGCAGCCATGATGAAAATTGGTACCAGAGTGGTGAGAGGGGTAGACTGGAAATGGGGTGATCAGGTACAACTTCTTTCATACAGGTTTGGGTGTGTTAAAATCTAAACAGTATTCAGTGGACTGTCTGTGAATTTTGTGTTCAAACTTTAAAGGTCATTTTACGTTTCAAAGGCTTGGAGAGTTAACATAAAATATATTAATTATTTAACTTCATTTTTGGAGATGAAAATTCTTTTTTAGTGAGACTGTTCTGATTCACGATTTAACAGGAAATTGGATCACTTGTTTGCTAAAATATTATACACTTCAAACTAAATGTGTATAGCACTTATGTAGTACATAGTAAAGTAGACCTAAATATCCAACTTTATGCTGGATTTTGAAACGTTATTGAATGTTTACTACCTAGCCATTAGATGAGCAGCAAAAAAGAGCAATTGCATTATTTTTTTATGAACTTTGGATATAAATCAGTGTTGTTGATTGTGTAACTTGAGCCTCTCTCTTCTGTCAGGATGGACCCGCTCCAGGTTTGGGTCGTGTGATTGGAGAACTGGGAGAAGATGGCTGGATTAGAGTGCAGTGGGACACCGGAAGTACAAATTCTTACAGAATGGGGAAGGAGGGAAAATATGATCTCAAACTAGCTGAGCCACCACCGGCAACGCAGCCCACAACAGAGGATTCAGACACTGAGGATGATTCTGGTAAAAAAGCAATTTTTTTGTAAAAGTGGAGGCAGGGTTTTAGTTGAATTCCAAAATTGGTATCTTGTAATGTGAAAAAGCTTCTTTTCCCAGGAGAAAATGCTTCATCAGAGAAGATTAATTTAATAGGATTACATTTCTGACCAGAATCTTTCTTAAGTTAACTTTAGTATGAGAAGGGAGGATAGAAAGGATGGTATCACATTTGTTGCATATTCATGGGCTGGAGAAAACAGTATTATCCAACTGAAATAGTTTTAGTTACAGATACCAGGAGGTACACATTTTAACATATGTTAATGGCATTCTAAATTGTGTTTTTTATATGGCCTGATTATACATCTAGTCATACTGCTTCCCTATTCTTGGCACTGCATTTGGAATTTCTTTTAAGTTGTGTACTGCTAGAGAATAACTTGAAAATAGCTGCATAAAGTATCTGGTTTATATTTTGGTCTTGCAGTTGGAAATAAGGAATCTTCTTCATGTGAAATCATCTTAGAGAAAATAGGTACAACAAATTTCTCACATCGTGTTTGTTTCAGAACTCTTTGTGAAATAGATTAACTCAATATTAATGTATTCCTTTGCCTTTTGTGTCTCCCTTCAGAAGGAGAACAAGTTGAAAGGAATCTCCACCCCACTTCCATGATGCTGACAAGTACAGTGAACCTGTTGCAGACACTGTGTCTCTCTGCTGGTGTCCATGCTGAAGTCATGCAAAGTGATGCTACTAGGACTTTGTGTGGTCTACTCCGTATGCTTGTGGAGAGTGGAACAATAGATAAATCAGGTATATTATATAGAAACAGAGTGATTCAGCTATGTTCTTCTGTTTTGTGCTTTGTTGTCTTGTAACTTTGTGAATCTTTTGTTACTAGCTTTTAATCCTTTAAGGCCAAAGGCTAGAAAATGCATTTTCAGAGCTTTTAAAATCTTAATTGTTAACAAAAGCAACATAGGTGATCTTGAGCATTCTTAGAACATAAGCAGTAAAAGCAGGAGAAATGCATGAGATCTGGAGTATCAGGATGTGTATGATTGGCTTAGACAATGAATTTCTTAGCAGAATTTTTTTGTTGGGGGACACCGGTATGACTGGGTGAATGATACTCATTTCCATAGCTGCTTTGTAATTTCAGAAGTAATACTGTTAACTACATTGAAATGAGGAAACGGTATAAAGATTAGAGTTTTTTTTTTTTAAAGGCATATTTAATAAAATTAACTACAGGTTCTAAAACTGAAGTTAGTAGTTCATGTGAAGACAGTGGAGTAGCTCAGTATTATGATTTGTCCAAAAAAGCCCCATGTAGTATATAGAGAATTACATAGCTGGCAGAAAAGTCAACTGTTATATGTATATATCTTTTTGTTTTTAGCTTCCTTGCCAAATAAATTAGTTTATAAAGAACAGCATAGGAGTTGGTGCACGTTGGGATTCATTCGAAGTATAGCACTCATGCCTCAGATGTGCAGCACTCTTAGTACATCTCAGTGGATAACTTTGCTAATGAAAATTGTTGAGGGGCATGAATCTTTCACTGCTGCTTCACTACAGAGACAGGTAATGTGTATATTTCCAAATTACTTTGATAGGCAATGAATTGACTAGACTTTATTTATCTTTAAAAAAAATATTGTATCTTAAAAAACAGATGGGAAATGTGCTTAAATCAGTTTTTAATTAATTGGAAAAAAGATAACATATTGTCTTATATTTAGGATTCATTGTTTTAAATATACATCTGTAAGTTTTTGAGCCTTCAGGGCACTACAGACTTCCCTGTTCTATTGAAAGCCTGAAAGTTTTCTACAGATGAGAGACCAAAACAGTGTTCCAAAAATGTATCCCAGAAACTCCTATGTAACATTTCCTAGAAGTTGAATAAAGAAAAGAGTAACAGAAAGACTGTTAGGAAAAATGTGCAATTTCATTTTAAAGTTATCGAGTTGTCTATTATCTACTGTCCCTCCTTCCATGGTGAACTGTTGTTATTGTTGTTATTGTTTTAATTACGGTCTTTCTTAAGAAGCTGCATCTTTGAATCTTATTTTGATATTGTATTTCCCTTTCCCCTTTTCTTTTTTCTTCCTTTTTCCTCTCCTTAGCATGTTGTAGTGCCTTTTGCATGAGATTGAAAAGCAACCTTATTATGGAATAACTCTTCCAAGTTTTAAAGCTCAGGGATCAAAAGATCATCTTAATCTTTTCCTTGATAAGGCATCAGAATTTTTTAATAAAACCTTTGTGTCATAAAGGCCTGTGCATTTTTGTGTGATCTTCCAGCAAATTCTTGCCAGTATTTTTAATATGATGAGACTTATCATCCAGGACTTAGTGCATTAGTCATCTGTGCTGTTCAGGGAATATTCAAGAGAGTTGAGCGTTCCTCATGTACCAGTGCGTAACTTAACAAGAAAAAGATGAGACCCTGAAGTTTTAGAAAGATGTGTTATTGACAGAGGTTTACAAGAAGCGAGATCTCTTCACTGGTATTGGTCACTTGTATTGGTCTTCTGAGTAGAAGATGAGAAAGCTCAGAACCTGAAATAATCCTGTTCCAAATGTGCAGCCCCATCTACTCTTTGATACTGCAACCCTGCACCTTCCCATGTTCCTCGTCAGTCCTGCACTGAGTGTCTAGGTTTAGAGATGACAGCCTGTTCCCTCTGTACTGTCGGAGGCCCTGGTTTCACAGTAACTACTTTTGGGTGTCACTGTGGTTGCTTTTTGTCGTCTTGTATCATTCAGCTTTATATCTCATGATTTTTAATCATACCTTCATTGCAGAACACTTGGAAACTTTCATTCTGAAATACGACTTAATACTAAGTTCTGAGTCTGGAATCTGAACAAACCTTCATATTCTGTATTCCTATTCTTCCTATGTGTTTTAGTCATTTACGTTGTTTCTCAGTGTGTGTTTGTCTCATGTCCCGAGTATTGAAGAGGTTGGATTCGCTAATATAATGTGCCAATAAAATTGTTATTGAATTTGAACTGGCAAAACTTCTTTTAAAATATTCCTTAGCAAACTGAACAGAAGATCGGTAGCTCTGTAATTTTCACAGCCAGAAAGAAGTCAGCATTATTAGAAAAAGCTACAAAGGAAAGCTAACTTTTGAAATGTTTTTCTTCTGTACTTTGTATGTTTGAAAATTTCTTAGATTCTAAGTCATCAAATATTAAATAACACTAATTCTGTTCTCTTTTTAGATCCTTGCTGTACATTTATTGAAAGCAGTGCTTCCATCCTGGGATAAAAATGAAAGGTCAAGAGACATGAAATTTCTTGTGGAAAAACTGTTTGGATTTTTAGGCAGCCTGCTTAGTACTTGTTCTTCAGATATCCCACTACTCAGAGGTAGAGGAATTTTCCCTTAGCAGCTTATTTTTATGTATAGAAAATATGTATGTTTAAATTAGTTGTGCAATTGCTTTGTCTTTCTAGAATCTACTCTGAGAAGGAGAAAGGCCAGGCCCCAAGCATCTCTAACTGCCACTCACAGTAGTACTTTAGCAGAAGAGATAGTGGCATTGCTGAGGACGCTCCATTCGCTCAGCCAGTGGAATGGACTCATAAACAAGTACATCAACTCTCAGCTAACCTCCATCACCCACATCTTTGCAGGAAAACAGTCAGAAGGGGTAGTTTCCACGTTTTAAAATAAGCTCATTTTTATAGCAATATTTATTTTGAAATTATAAATATTAAATATTTGTAAACAATGTTAAGCTTAATTTTGAAACCATTTTTCTATTTTTTTATATATATATATTTTTATTTGTGTACTGTAATTTTTAAATTGAAGTATGTGCTATTAACTTTGTATTTTAAAGCAGATAGAAGTATATGTTTTCTCCCTACAGTTAATTTTGTTGTTCTTTGTTAGGCTCTGCTGGATGACTACTTTCCTGACACTGAGAATCCAGAGGTGGGAGGCCTAATGGCAGTGTTAGCGGTGATTGGTGGCATAGACAGTCGCTTGAGACTGGGTGGACAAGTAGTTCATGATGAATTTGGAGAAGGCACAGTAACACGCATCACCCCAAAAGGGAAAATCACTGTACAATTCTATGACATGCGAACATGTAGAGTGTGCCCTCTGAATCAACTAAAACCAGTAAGTTCGTTTTATCGAGGCTTTAATACAGGGAAGGATATGGTTTAAGACTCTGATATGGTGCAAAGAAAATGTTTGTTATTCATTGTGTAAATACATTGACATTCAACACATACAGTGCTCTGAATGCAAATCTAAGATGGTACTCATGTGAACCTCTATAGGGCCTTTAAAGCCCGTCCTCATTTGTTGACGTAAAAGGAGAAGGGATTTGAGCTGAAGTCCTTTGACTTGAGGTAAAAAACCCAGGTTGTAACAATGTGATCTATAGCTCTTGCATGAGCGTAGCTTATTTATTTGTATTTAACTTGATTTGCTAACTAATGTAGAAAGTCTTGGGTATTTTCATTTGAATCTTAATCTTAAATTGATTAATATTACTTTAGTGAAAGCACAGTCAAAGTGCCTGGTCTGCTTCAGGGACTGCAGTTCTTCCTTGCTCTGACTCCGTCTTGCTTTTTTGCTAAGTAGGCCTGCAATTGCGAGGTACAAATACAGGCTTAGGAGCTATGTAGGGAATAGAAATCCTCTTCAGTTGTTCCTGGTCAAGAGCAATAAGACGAATGCTACTTTTTCTCTTCTTCAGTTAATAAGCATTAAAACTTTTGAATGATTTCATAAAATTTTGGAAAATGCTTATCTATGTTATTTTTTTGTTTGGTTCTTCCCTCGCTGTCTAGCTTCCAGTTGTGGCTTTTAATGTGAACAACTTGCCTTTCACTGAACCTATGCTATCCATTTGGGCTCAACTAGTAAATCTGGCTGGAAGTAAAGTAGAAAAACAAAGAATGAAGTCTCCCAATCAGGGTCTTTCAGGTACAGTTGGGGTTTTTTTTTGTTTTGTTTTGTTTTTAAATAGATGGATATACTCTGGGAAAAATACTGGTAACACAAATGTACATAAGGTTCCAGAAAACCCTTTTTTCTACCTTTTTTTCTTAGTCAACATTGAATAATATGCACTTATGAGACAAGTTTAGCTAGGAGATGAATTGCTCTGCACTGTAAATGGGATACTGTTTTTACTTTGGCAAGAAAATGTAAATAAGGTTTGGGGCTGGACTTCTTGTATTGAATTGTTTAAAATACCAGATCCATATAACATGTTAACTGCACTTACTGTGCAGAGTAATTAATCTCCTAGCTAAACTTGATATCAACTTGATAGAAACTTCATAGAAAGATATATCAACTGTATGATTGATGGTCCAGAGTGTGAAAAGTAGGAAAGAAGTGGTTTTTTAGATCATGGGTCATAGAATGTGTGCAGACTTTTTGTCCAGGTGCTGTTCAAACTACCTCATATCATCGGTATTTCACAAGCTTTCACACAATTAAAATGTAAACTGATTATTGGACTGGGGTTGTATGAATCATAGTTTTTCTTTTTTAATACAAGACATTCTTTGTATTGCTTAATGTTTCTGATAGGTCAAGTGGATCTGGATCTGCTGCGATGCCAGCAGTTAAAGCTGTACATACTGAAAGCAGGCCGAGCTCTACTTTCTCACCAGGATACACTGAGGCAGATCTTATCTCAGCCAGCTGTTCAGGAGTGTGCATTAAATCCTGCAGGTATTCTGAAATGCAACCTGAGTGTGCTGCTGGTTGTTAAGATGGTAGATAAGAGTGTGTGACTATAACCCTTGCTAATGGCAGTTGGAGGGTAGAAATTAGGTTTGCCCTGTAAAGACTAAAAATTTAAAATTTAGGAATGTTTTAACCTTGTATATTAAAAGCGTTTTGACTTTTTAACTTAGGGTTTGAAGACTAAGTTGTTCAACTGTTTGAAGCTTGAAATATTGGAGTTAGCTAAATTTGTTAGTATACTTAGTAAACTTTGTAAGTAATTTTAAAAAACTTGTGGTTTTTTTTGCAGTGATTTCTTTTTCTGCTTCAAAGCTTAAAGTATGAATTCTCAATTGGCTATTCCTTTTACTTCAAATGTTTTTTAGTTTCCAGTGAAACAAGTACCAGGATACAATGTCTTAAGCATAATCTTAAAAGGAGTTCAAGGAATTGTAGTTTTGGTAATTTGAATTCATTCTATATATACACTCATTCTACGTATAAAAATAAATAAAATAGCTCTGTCAGCTTTCAGGATAGCTGTTGATGCCCTTTTAAGTTTATATTCATTCTTTGGGCATTTATGAAGCATCTAATCTCTTTATATTAATATATTTGGTTTATTTGTATATTTCTGGGGAGTTTTCTCAGTTGCCAAATTTTAAGTCAACAGAATCATCAGTGTTTTCCCAGGAATAGAACATGGTTTTATTTCTACCATCAGTTTTTAATGGGAAGAAAAAACACCCAAAACACCCAACTTTTTATTTTTTTAAAAGACCAGAACAGCATCAATATACGAGGACTACTAACTCTTTTGTTCTTGTTTCAAATATGAGAACTTCCTAACTTCCCTTTGTTGGAGTTAAATGAAGAGTGAGAAAGCCACAGTAAAGATCTAGGAAACATGAATGTTTATACCAACAAGAATACAAAATCAAATATACAATTTGTGGAATTGTGAGGCAGTTGATTCAAAAAAGTTACATGCTTTTGTAGCGGCAATGAATACCTATAGGGAGCTCTTCCCAGGAGGTGTATTAGAGGGGGAAATTACTCAATCCGGAAAGTGTGCACCATGGTTTTGGGGGTCAGTGAGGTTGTTGGTTGTTTAGATAAAGTGGTTTATATAGTGGTTTATATATTATAAAGTGGACCTCTTTATAACAACTTTATTATAAAAAGGTGAACTCAGAAGATAGTTGTGCAAATTCACTGTCCGCTGAGCAGTTTCTCCTAGACATGTTCTAGATGCAATTTAGTGAATCTTTTGCTTATCTACAAATCTCTCATTTGCTTTTTTGTACGGAGATTGTGGCACATGTGATTTAGTCTTAAATGCATGATTCCTGTGGAGAAGAAATGTGGGAGAAGTTAACAATATGTTTGATCAACCAATAGGTCCCAGAATAAGTCTCCTGATTGACTTGTTACATGGTTTTGGTTAAAATATTGTTTTTGTTTCAAGAGGATGGAGCAGTTGCCTCTCCCGACATAGGAGATATGTCCCCTGAAGGACCTCAGCCTCCCATGATTCTTTTACAGCAACTTTTGACAGCTGCTACACAACCATCACCTGTGAAAGCAATATTTGACAAACAAGAGCTTGAGGTAGAGTCTGTGTTTGCTGCTAAGTAACCTAATAAATAAATCTTTCTAATTCCCATCCCAGTTGAAACTTGTTGAGCTATAAGTTTAGAAAAAAACAGTGACGCTGAACCCTTTTTGGCAAATAACCTTTAATTTCAGGCACATGCACGCATGAAAACATACTAAATGTACTTGTTTTATTTGGACTGATTTATTTGTTCTCATTTAGGCTGCTGCTTTGGCGGTATGCCAGTATCTGGCTGTAGAGTCTACACATCCTTCAACGCCAGTGTTTGAAGACTGCAGCTCTAGTGAAGCTACAACACCTGTCACAGTGCAACATATCCGACCCACCAAAGTGAAGAAACGCAAGCAATCTCCAATTCCACCCCTCCCCATTGTCGTTCAACTTATGGAAATGGGATTTCCTAGGAAAAACATAGAATTTGCACTAAAATCTCTGTCTGGAACCTCTGGAAGTGCTTCTGGATTGCCAGGTATTTAATTTAGTTAAATTAATGATATTAGAAGGAGAAGGAAAGTTGTGAGCAGATTAAAATGCTACTTAGAAGGGAGCAATTGTTACTTCCCTTTTGGGATACTGTCTTAGGAATGTCAGAGAATCCCTCAGAGACAGACTGAGTTTGTTTTCTGTATTAGGAGTAGAAGCCTTGGTTGGCTGGTTGTTGGATCACCCTGATGTTCAAATCACGGATCTCTCTGATGCTGATACTGTCTCTGATGAGTATTCAGATGAGGAAATACCAGAGGAGGTGGAAGAAGCTGAAGCTGCTTGCCCTGTGGTAAGTATCAACTTACTAAAACCTAAATCATGCTAGCTGGCTGCAAACTTTGTAATTCTTTCCTTTTATGAACTTGGTTAGAGTACAAGGACATTCTGCTGTCCCAAGCTTGCAAGACTGTAACAAGGGCCACGTTTACCATATGTTTCTAAGGCATGAACTCAAGAATCATACATAAATATTTATAGATTAGTAGCACAGAGGAAGAGTGGAATGCAGGTAGAAGTTTCACTAGTGGTAGCTATAAGTATCCCTGATAGCTGGTCTCACTTTCATCTAAAATAGTCAATGCTATAGTGTAATATTTGTAAAGGACTCTTAATTCCGTACCGCTCCCCTTCCTTCGGTCTGAAAATCAAGTGTATAACTACAAGAATGACTCAGGAATTAGTAAATAAATGGCAAAAAGATGTCAGTGAAATAACTTGGCTTTTTCCTTATAAAAACTATTTTCACTTATTGGTGATAGGATGACCTTTACAATGCCTGTTGAATGTGATGGCTTTAATGTGCATTTATATTAGACTTCTGTTGACTTTCAGGAACTGTTTCAGTAAGGATTTGCCAATAAAATGAAATGGGTTCCATATTTCTATTTATTTTTTAAGGAGTTATGTTGAATTTTCCAGCACATGTGGGATTTTTGTAATTGAAAGACATGCACTGTATTTTGAAGGAAACTAACTTGACATTGAGTTGTGCTGTCTTTATCAGTATTGCAGTGAGAAACTGTGCTATATATTACCTCGATGAAAAAACATTTAATGCTCAAAACAGAACGAAGTTGTCTGAAAATTCTCGTTACAGCTGGAGTGCAATAGTTTTCTTAAAAAATTTTAATCAAATCTTGACAGGAATAATTTCTGATAACTACAGTCTCATCTTTTTCATCAGCTTGTATTTCTAAGGGAATGCTTTAAATCCCATTGTATTATATAACAAAAATATTAGTAGTGTACTTTAGGTAGGACATTACCATTCACTACTTGTTTTTTGGTTGGTTTTTTTTTTTCCTCTCCAAACAAGTAGCCTAAGAAGTGGAATGTGAACGTGTGTATCTGCAAGGCTAAGTAGATTACTTACAAATCCTCTTTGTTCTAACTTTCTTTGGCAAGCAGATTTCGTAAAAGCAACTTGCAGCTTGTTTCACACATTTTGAAAATTTGCAGCTACATTGCTTGGCAAGTCATTTTGGAAACTAAACTTTAGAGTGAAATAGATCATAAATATTAGCCATATAGCGATTTGACCTGTTAAAGATTTTTCCCATTTTGGCATGCAGCTTGGATATTATATGTGTTTGTTTTTGTTGGGTTATCTTCAGTTTCTGCTAACAATTCTGTTTGTCTGAATTGAAAACAAATTTTATGACTGTTATATGTTTATTTTGTATTTTTCCAGACAAGTGGTGCTGTTGTAACAGAGAGCCAGACCTATAAGAAACGAGCTGATTTCTTAAGTAATGATGACTATGCTGTGTACGTGAGGGAGAATATTCAGGTAAGCATGATGATCAAAAGCTGTATTGAAATTACTCTCCTTCTGATACAAAAGTCTTTGCACAGCTGTGGCATTCCGTTGTCCTTTTTTCCTAGGTGGGGATGATGGTTAGGTGCTGCAGAACCTACGAGGAGGTTTGTGAGGGAGATGTAGGCAAAGTTATTAAATTGGATCGAGATGGATTGCATGACCTGAACGTACAGTGTGATTGGCAACAAAAGGGTGGTACTTACTGGGTCAGATATATCCATGTTGAGCTTTTAGGTAAGTTCATTGCCAACTGCTTTTTAATAAAGAACTGAATGATATGCTAAGGGAGACTTATTTTTGGAGGGGAAAAACCCACTCACCCTGCATTTATTCTTGCAATTGCTAGGATTCCCACCGCAGAGTTCTGCCTCTCATATCAAGATAGGCGACAAAGTGCGTGTGAAAAGTTCTGTTACCACACCCAAGTACAAATGGGGATCAGTTACTCACCGAAGTGTGGGAGTTGTCAAAGGTAAAGCATATTCAGACTGGGGCATTGAGGAGGTAACAAAACTGGAAACCACACAGACTTTCTGCAGAGTTTAAGGAGAGAATCTTCTAGGCACACTTACAAAGCACACTGTTTTGTGGAATATTACATGATGATAAGACAGTACAGAATGCATTTGATGTCTGACAGGTATAGAGATACGTACTCTGTGGCAGCCCATTTTGTTACTGTGTTGTCTGCTTTTTGAGCCACTCCATTCACATACAATAAAGGTCTTTAAGAATCTCTGCAGCTTCCTGTTGTAGTTCTCGTTTATACTTTGGATGAACCACAAATGGTTTTCCTTTAAGAAATAAATCTAACTTGGAGACTTCATATGGAAGTGAGAAGGAAATGGGATGCACTAGTGTCAAGCTATAGGGGATGTTGTAGAAATAGTCTGTGGGGCATAAATTCTTTGAAGAGGTACAGATTTTAGTCATAGTGTATTTGTGCTTAGAAGTACTCTCTCCCTTTTGGAAACTGTTAAAAAAAAAAAATAAAAAATCAGGGTCAAGGATTTTAAATAGAATAATATGTATCTTTAAAAAAATCTTTAGAAAAACTTTCCCTCTGCCCCTTTCCAGGCTATCTGACAAGGTTAATACATAGTTCCATTAAAATAAAAGATTACTTTCTAAAGTAATCTTTTATTACATGTTTCTGCTCTGATGTTGCACTGGACACTTTCTGCTTCATTTCATAGAGATCTGCAGCACACTGTATTTTCTGCCTGTTTTTGTCACAGCTTTTAGTGCCAATGGAAAAGATGTCATTGTAGACTTCCCTCAGCAGTCTCATTGGACTGGCTTGTTGTCAGAAATGGAACTGGTCCCCAGCGTTCATCCTGGAGTCACGTAAGTGATGTTTTATATTTTTCTGAATGTATATGGGTTATCCTTTGGCCTTACTGTCTTGATTCCATTATCTTGACTTGTGTTACAATTAACTTGTATCATGAAAACTGCTAGAAGTATATTTACTTGTTCTTTTGTGAAATCAGGTGTGATGGCTGTCAGATGTTTCCTATCAATGGGCCTAGATTCAAATGCAGAAACTGTGATGATTTTGACTTTTGTGAAACCTGTTTTAAAACCAGGAAGCATAACACCCGACATACTTTTGGCAGAATAAATGAACCAGGTAAGTTTCAGAGTCTGAGTGTTGCTGTAGGTGAATGGAATCCTCATGACAACAGGTGCAGCTAGAAATACCTAAGATACCTTCTTACATCTCAGTTGCTCTTCAACAATTTTGCCTATTGGTGTGTGATGGCTGTTGCCTCATTTCCTCCATGATGTGGAGACCGCAGAGAAGTGTGGTAGGAAAGGGAAGCCTTTTGAAAGACTCATCATGAGAATTTTTTGTTCCTAGGGCAAGAATAGGTGCAGCCATTTTAACTCCAAAACTTTTGGGTTTTGCATTGTGATGCGAAACTTACCTGATGCTAGTTTATAACTTTTCTCTCCAGCTGTCTAAAAATCAGTCTGATCCCTGGTATTTGCAAGGTGATTTTGGCTTCTGAACTAAACCTCTTCATATTTACATATAGCCAGTCTAATTGGTTTGGAAAATGAATAAAACTAATTCCCTACTAGAAATCATGAACATGTATTGCATGTCTGTGATCGTTTGTCTAAAGGGCAAGAAAGACTTTCCATTATAAATCAGTTAATATGGTTGTACCGCTGATATGGTGTGACTCTGTAATCCTTCCCGTTGCCCTGGATAGGGTAAAGGAGTTACAATATTTTTTTTAGTTGGGCTTTCTAGAAGCTAGAAAGATCAGTGAAGGGAAGTAGAAGTGGGTTTTTGCAGGGAGGAATCAACAACTCACTAAAACTACAAAATTCATGTGCTATGGGCCTGTATTTTGAAGTACGTATCATCATAAATTTCAATTTGTATTTCAAAAGGAAGGACTCTTTCAAGTGACTATTTAGTCAAGAATATTAGTCTTCTAAGAATCCTGTCAGTTTAAATGTTACATGCCCCTGTAATGATTTATCATTCGATTTTAGGAATTACTCTTCGTGTCTTGACATTCCTGAAGAGAGTAATTTTCCTTAATTTTTTAATGTTTATTTTTTACTAAATTATGCTTGGTTTCTTGGTACAAATCAATCATAAGTGTAAGAATAGGAAGTGTGACTATCCCAGATGACAGGCATGAAAACTTGTATCCAGGTAAAGTGCTTGAAACTCCATTAAAAAAATAAATCTTGAGCTATGCCCTTTAAGCGTGAGTAGTATTATCATACCTATGTGACATGCTTCTGTATTCTACTTTTAGACTACATACCTGAAATCTTTGATTTGTTATATTTCCTTTCACATTGCTTATGGGTCTAATAAAAGCAATTTTCTTTGAGAGGTTCATGTGTAATGTTTCACTTAACCATGCAGGTCAGTCTCCAGTGTTTTGTGGGCGTTCTGGAAAGCAGCTGAAGAGACGACATAGTAGCCAGCGGGGAATGTTACTGGATGATTGGTCAAGAATAGTTAAGAATTTGAATGTCTCATCCTCTGTGAATCAGGCTTCACGTCTTATTGATGGTAGTGAGCAGTGCTGGCAGTCTTCTGGCTCACAAGGAAAGGTAACTTAAACCATAACTGGTTTATTCTGGCATACTTCTCTTAAGAGGATAAATATTAACCTTAGTGAAATGTTTGTTTGTTACTTTAGTGTAAGATAGAAGAGTACTAAAAACAGTTATCTGAAGTACAAAACTATGTTTCTTCATAGTAAATGCGCCTATTTTTTTTAAAG